ACTTGTGTGGAGACCAAGGAAACAGAGCTGCTGCCAAGCTCCTGTCCCATGAGCACACAAGAGAGGGGTAAGCGGTGGCTTTGTCTTCATTGCCACAAGAGAAACTCCTTTGTTTTTATACCTTATGTGAGAAATATGAACTGCTTTTTGGAGTATGGGGGAAATTTTTAATGTTACAGTAATATTGAGTAGGAATATCCCATTTAAAATGATGTAAAGATATGCTGTAATACTCCCTTACACTGTAAAGTAGTGGCTGAAGAATTGTGTTTACATGGACCATCGTGTTTAATATGTCTCCCTCTCCATATAGCATTGCCCATGGGTCTGGTGGAAAGCTCTGGACTTAGGCTTAGACCTTGAAGAAAAGCTATCAGGAACAAAACTGGAACGTTCACTAAGCACTTGAAGGTACTTTCTGATACGATTAAGACTGAAAAGAGCAATAAAAACACTGTGTTCTGTAGAAGCACAGGCTGAACCCTTGGCCGTCAATCCTAAGGAAGTTATGGTTGCTCACAAAACAGACTTTTTAAGTGAAAATAAAAGCACTTTCAGATAAAAATTTTATCCAGTTTGACTTCTTAAAATTTATCTTTTTAGGGGTTGGAGACATATTGAATAAACTGTAGTCTCATACCATGTGACCTGCAATCATTTGCTTTAACCTGATCAGATCTGCTGTGGCCCTTTAACATAGGCTGTATATGAAGTTAGGAATCTAGATTGGGAGTGACTGTTTTGTGAGTTTCATTATGTTTAATGCTGAGATTTACCTTGAAATTTTATTTCTCCTCAATGATTAGTACTATAAAAGCAATGTGCAACCGTGACTTCCTTAGAAATCTCTAAGAGTGACTGAATACTCATCCATTCAGTTATACTGCCCAGTGTAGCATCATAGCTCATCAGATTCAGAGGCCCAAGGCAGTAGGGAAGGAGTAGAAAATGACCTTTTCTGTATTGTGTACCTTTTGTATATTGAATTGCTCAGTTTCAGCCCTCTTTCAGCTTTAGATACATGCTCTGCCATATTTCACACTCACCGTGTGCAGAGCTTGGGTACCTTGGGAAGTGCCAGATTGCTACTGTCAGCCAGACTTGCCAAGTCAAAAAGGCCCCAAAGTGCCTTTCTGGTTGTTTTGCATCTGTGGGGTCACATGACAGAGGGGCCAACTTCCCTGCTGTGCACATAGCATAGCCCTTTCTTCCCTCCTAAAAAATCCCTTGTAGTCCACAGGCACCACTTCAATTGTGTAAGCCCTACACCCAAGAGAGAGAAGGCCAGCATTGAAGAGAACTGTGCCTCCAAAGCACACAGATGAGTGGAAGAATTTGTGTGGTTCCAATGTTCTTATAATTTGGAATGTGGCATTCTAAAGTTGATTTTAAATACCTGATTGCTCCAGGCTCTCTGCTATAGCCGCCCTCCCCCCTCCAACACTTCTCTCCACACCCATTTTTGCTGAAAGATTGTGTGAAACATGCATTGAAATGCTGGCAGATATGTGTTGGGTTATAGTCACCAGCAACTGCACTCAGGAGCCAAATTCAGGAGTGAAATTGCCACTTCTAGTCCCTTATTTCCTATGGAAATTTGGATGCCCTCCACCCCTGGACCTGCCATCTGTCCTGGAAAGCTACATCAGGATGCTGAACACTCTGCACTTTGATTCATTGTTACATTGTTGCTACAATGAGCATCATTTCTGCTTTGCTAGCAACCACACTATTGTCCTTAGCTGCAGTCAACAAATCTGCTGTGGACTCTGTTCAAGGTCATACCACAAAGGGTCAATTGTGAGAGGCTTCCCTTGGAAGAGTTGTCAATTTCACTGCCAATTTTTATGATGTTTTATTTTTTTTTATTTTTTATTGTAAGGATACTATACAGAGGGTTACAGTTACATGAGTGAGGTAATGAGTACACTTCCTCTTGAACATTGTTAGCCCCTCCATTGTTTTCCCCCAACCATCCCCTCCCTCCCTCCCTTCACCGAAGTTCTTTTTTTTTT